AAAGCTATTGGAAGAGCGTTTACCAATGGCAAGCTTGTTGGGGCCAAACTTCTGACTGATCGCGTATTACAGCGACCGAAATTTCACTAGAGAAGAAGGGATGAAGCGGCAGGCAAACGCTCAAAATAATTGGTTCTCCAAGCCTTGGACACTGATCTTGTTAGTTATACTGTTCCTATTCTAGCTAAGAGAACTCGGTTACTAATCCACATCAAATCATGAATCAACACACCGAGCTTCACATCACTTACAATTACCAACCAACTTGGATCAAACGCTTCTCAGCACATCGACATCTTCTTACACATACTCTTGAACTCCATCATCCCTGACTTCCGATTAGACTGGTTTAGTTCGGTTTGTCAAACCATGAATGTCTGTGGCATGATTATGCCTAAAATCACTGACATGTTTCTGTTCTTCATAATGATAAACGGTAGATGTACGGAAATATGGGCAAGCCTTACATGGACGTAAATTACGTGACGTTGTAGAAAAACTTTTCATAAAGACTCCTTGTTGTCCTCTGTTCATCATGCGATTCAGTTTTAAAAACACAAGGACCCGTGTCGTTGGTCTGATTTCTACTCTCCAGGTCCTCATATAGCTGTTATTTGTATGATGGTGTTGCGGTTCCTTACCGAATTGGGGTTAGCTATCGTATAGTGACGTCCACATTCAATAATTATATCCGTATTACAATTGATACAGATAGCACGTGCCAAATGACACTTCTACCGGCAGTTACGCTCAGTTTAGAAGAAACGATATTTAACAACAAACTTTGAGCAAAAATAATAACCATCTTTCGTATTCAGAATTCTTTTTATATTTACGCTATGATTGATTTTCGAACTGTTAGACCTCGCAGCGCTTCAACTTATTCGGTACGTCTCTATGTCCTCCGCAAAGATAGTTTTTCAGTGCTGCATGTCTGCCAAACTCTTAGTTGAAGAGGGTAGTTCAGAGACAACCATCAACAAAGGTCTTATAGCTTATGTCGCTTTTTTAAAAGATTGTTCTGATGAAGTTTTGCATAAAATTGCCGAGACAATTTGTACAGTTCGCCTGATATCTGACAGTAATGACAAACTCCGATCTGTGATTGATAGCCCTTGTGACTTGCTGATTGTTCCTCAGTTCTGTCTGTCTGGGAAACTAAAAGGTAAATGTTTTCAGTATCACACTGCTGTCCCAAAGGTGGCTGCTGAGTCACTTTATTCCCGATTAGTTAAATCCTGTGATACATTTTTAAGAAGTAGTGCTACATGGTTATCCAAGTCATGCAAACTTTCTTACGGAACATTCGGAATTCGCCAGATCTTAAGTATAGAGACTAATGGTCCTTTCACTCATGTTGTTGAGCTGTAACTTGTATGCCGTTTAAAATGACCTGATTCCCTGTATTTCTACTTTTTGTATTATTCTTTTTTTTCGTGACAGAATTTGATTTTTAAAAATTTGTGTTAACGTAATATGATTGAAATAACTTGCAATGACAGACTTGGTAAGAAAGTACGCATTAAGTGTAACCCAACCGACAAAGTTGGTGATCTAAAAAAACTGATTGCTGCTCAAACCGGAACTAATTGGGAGCGTATTGTACTTAAAAAATGGTACACTATTTTTAAAGATCATATAACACTACAGGACTACGAAATCAATGATGGAATGAACTTAGAGCTGTACTATCAATGACTTGTGCTCAGAATTTGTTCATTTTTGTAAATTTTAAATACAAATTTTTCACTATTTATCAGCTTGTTTCGAATATATATGATTTTTTGCGTCGTAAGATTTCTTTCGAAAGATAACTTTGCTATTCCTAAGGTAGAGAAACATCCAGCTATCTTCGTGTCTGATGTTACTATACCGGGTTTTACAACTATTGAGTACACTTTCAGTGAGTTACTTAATAATGATGTAGTAGTAAGGTGCTTTATAAAATAGAGATAAGTAATGTTGCAAGACATTCGACTAACAATTAGCCTAAGTTATCTGATCAATTATGAGATAGAAAGAAAGGAAAACAGGTTCAAGACTCACGTATGTTTTAACGTAAAATCCGTAGTCGATCTGGTTCTAACCAATTTTAATGCTCACGAAAAGCTAGTACTGCTTAAAATGACAGTAGTATAGGTGATTAGAATACAATGTTGTGATATTAGATTGTGCTAATTTCGACACAGGATTGTTTCAGTGAATTTGTTTTGTGTGGCTGACTGTATATTGACTTCGTTTCCAATGTTCAGGGGGATTATGGCTTAACTAAGAAGTTATCACTTAAAAAACTGATTTTTCCAATTTAATTTCTGTTGGAACTCAAATTGTTTATTGCTACTGTTTATTTTAGGTCCTCATTTAGAGGGGTCTCAGTGGACTTTTATTATGAACCTTGAGATTTCATGTAAATAGTTTGATGTGTTTTAGTTCATTCGTTACATAATGATTTTCACCACTACTCTTATCAAATAAATAATTCAATATAGTTATTATTAAAAAGTAGCTAGGTATTCATTGCACTCATGAAGTTCAATATTGGAGTAGTTTGCGTTTCTTAATTATCCTGAAATGAGAACAGATTCCAACCTTTTTCCGATCCTCTCATTTATAAATCCATGTTACTCTATATGTTAACATTCTTCAACTTATATTTGTCAAAACAACCATATGAAGGACATTACTATAGTCTTGTATGTGACTAGTCGTTTTGGTTTCCGCAAATTAAAAGTTCTAAGATAATTAAAGACTATTTAACCTGATCTTTGTAGTTTCCAATACTTCTTTCAGGTTCTAGAACCCACTCACATTTCGCTTTAGTTAGTTTAAATAAGTTTACGGCAATAATAGAAAGTTATTGTGAACTATGGCCATCTATTTTAGAACTCCATGTTTGTTAGGGTTCCCTATTTTTCCCTAAGTTTATTAACATCCAGTGGTCCATTTACTCAATATTTGAGTGTCCAAAATATTACTTAGTAGGTAGAATAGAAAGATGTATCCATACCATTATTTTAGCGTTATCACTCAGATATTCTGAATGTTATCTCGTTAAAGTAGAAAGACACTTAAGATAACGAACAAGTCGGTTTGGTTTATTGAATATTTCTAACTTGAGACTGATATTTACGTAAAATGTCAACTGGTCTACTTAAGGTGTTTTTAACTATTTGAAGACATACTGGCACTTACAGGCATCAAAATAAATATATTCCACACAAATCATGGAACAATATTTCAAAGAAGGAGTATGATAAAGACAAATAATTGGTAAAAATAAGTGAATGAAAAAATATATTGGGAGAGACACCTTTAGCCACTATCTCTCGAACTTCAATCAGTGAGTTGTGATTGGGCGATAGATCCCAATCCTAAATAGCTTTCTTTCATACCACGACGCAATCTTGTAAACTGATCACTCCATCACTTTTTCTATCTCACCTACGCGTCCTCAAGTGAGGCATGATATGAAAGCCTCTGGTGTAATGTTCGTACCACGTCCAGGCCACCGAAGCTAGTGTCTCAAGATTATGAATCTATTTGAACTATTGGGATTATATTCAAGCACACACTACCCAGCCTAAGTATAACGAAAATGGTAACTTAACTGAATATCAGTGATCCTTCAGAAAGAAAGATGATCAAACAGGGCCTCAAAATACCTTGAGAAGCCAGATTTTACTGGCGAAAAGTTGAACTGGTCTCACCAGACTAACATCTATACGGCCCCAAAAGTGGCGCAAATCGGCCGAAGACACTGATTTTATTTATGTAGGCAGATATCATTAAATGTCCCAGACTTACCCAAATGCACGGACATTTTTACAATTTCTAACAGTTGACTGCTGAGAGTCAATTTCAGTACAGGTTCCTTCCAGTCTAGTGAAAGTATCATGTATTTAGATACTTGCCGTATCTACGCACACTTCCAACTGATTAAGTGCGGATTTCATACATTGAGTATAATCTTACAGTAAGAAAATAACACCCTCATACTTACGATCGAAGTCTTTCTTCACGCAACAAATCCATCCACAACCACCTACCTTTATTAGGGCTGTTGATAAGAAATGGAGGACTCAAGGAACTCTTCTCAACCCCTCTGCTTGAACGAAACAATAGTGAGAGGCGTTTGTGTACAGAGCCTCCAAGATATTATTAGGCTTCTAAGAAACACTATCAAAACAATCTTGGAGTGACCCTGATGTTAAGAAAATACAATGGTTGTTTGGTTGAAATAAGTTTGCAGATTTTTCATCAAACTCACGGTTAGCTGGAGTGGACTTCGGCGCCTTAAATAGTTGTAGGGAGCCAGTAAAAGCCCAGTGCATATAAGAGGGACGTTCGGTGGAGCCAAAAAACGAGACTGACTACTAGCCTTGAGTCTAACTCTGTCTGGTATTTGGTTGCGACCGGAGCAACAGTCGACTCGCTTATATCAATCAGTTTATGACGATGAGTTTTCTGAGCACTTTAACGAAAGATAGCGGTAGTGCTAACCAAACCATGACCAGAGTCCAGATAGGTACGCCAGAATGAACGGTAGTCTTGTACATAATCATGCCAGGGAGTACGTCTATGACTTCCGAAAGTTGGTGCTGACCAGTGCAAAGCTGCTGGAGACGGTCACCATTAATTGACCGGAGATCGGCAAGCCTCTCTCGACCACCGATGAGACTCTGCTCTGTACCTAGACATTCGATCTGTGGGTTTGAACTTCTGACTAGCACTAAAATGTGTCGAGTGCGCTTTTTTGAGATCATGTGACTGGTTGTAAGATTCATCTATGATTGTATGCGGACTGCAATACGTCTTGGGGTAGGAGGAGACAACAACAGCGTATTGTTATTTTACTTCGACTTCTTGTCAATGTTCTAGAGCCTTTTTATCTAATACTTCATCCTAAGGCAGCATACCCAGTATTTTGTAATTAATAAAACTACCTTCATTTTCACTTCTATTTTATTTAATTTGAATTTTTCAACGGTATATTAAAAGTACACAAATTTGAGTAATTCTTACCACACTAATTCTTTTTTTAATAATTATTTAGTCTGCCACTAATTCTTCACTATTTGACATTTTCACTTAAACAGTCAGGAGTACCGTTACACAGTTCTAGGTCTCTTAGCAGTCGTAAAGAGAATTTTATTGCGCAGTCGGTCTACAGTTTAATATCCCATTTCCTTCCAATCTTCAACTACTTTTATGCTATGTCAAAAGTATTACGTGATAATCTTATTTACGGCTATACACATAGTGGCAGGTTGGGATAACATTTGGAGTTTCTCATAATGGTCAGTGTTCGCGCATTTGGAATTGAAGTGTTCTGCAAACTGATCCTTAATCTTCCCACTTGAAGATTCCTTGCTGAATTGAAACTAAGTTGTTAGCTTACAAATAATTCATCTGATGCCCGGGTAAGATTAAAATCGTCATCTAACTCGGTTAACCAAAAAATAATATATGTAAAACGGTTTTTGTGTACAATTAAAAATGAACAGTTTACTTGAAATAACTTAATAAATTCTGGGGAACAGGTGACGAAGTTTACATCCAGATGCCTATCGTCGACTAGAGATATCTAGAACCTCGAAGATCAAATACATTAAAATGTTTATAAGTAAATGACTGGTACAAATCATATTATGAACAGACATCTCAGAATAATGTCGGAAAAGTGACCTTTAAATGTGTACTGGCTACGGAATGACGGCGTAAAACATTTACTATGATATATGAGTATTTTGTCAAGATATTACTCGTAGATTGACGTGCCTTACAAAGTGCAAATGAGACATTCATCTCACAGTTATTCTGACAAATCAGTGAAATCCCTTAAGATAAGAGCAACATCTAGAAAGCGTTTTTATTAGTAATGGTTATTAATGGGACAAAAAATCGCTATCCAGAAAATTGCCTGTTTCTATTGACAGACGATGAACATAACTCTGGTAGTTTCATTACAACTTGCAGTTCGTTATTACACTGTAGCATAACAGTAGAAATACAAAGCACCTTCTTGACAACTGCATTACATAGGCCCTCGTTCCCAGCTGTTACTAGGAGCTATTCATTCATTTGGTGTCAATCTCTTTGTCTCGGTAAGACAACTATTTTGTTCTTCTCTGCTATTGAACTTCAAGATCCCAAGTTCGTCTCACGATGCGGTTAGTCGGTATCGTTAGTGTAAGCCATAGACCTCTCCAGCGTCTTTCCCTAATTCCTTCAGATGAAAGCTGGTTTGTTCTGTGCCATAGTGGATTGTTGCTAGTGGTATCTTGCCGGTGGACACTCGGTGCCTTACGTTGACAAATGTTTACAGTCAGTTGTACCTTGTCTGAGGACGGTTGTAGTAGTTATCCAAGTTGTAGCTCTGTACGACCGAACTGTCTCGTAGCTACTGACAATTCGGACCTTGATGTTGTGTCGTGCATCATATGTTCTCAATTGGTAGGAATGCTGCAATCGCCTTCACATCAATCTTGATTATGATGTTGCCAGACTTGATTGTCATGGACACTGGAACCGTATTCATCACTTGCTTAGGTTTTAGTCATTCGACCCACAACTGCTTTGTGCATCATTACGGGTTAGGTCAAGTAATTCCGACCACGCCTCTTATGGGTAGCATATCCATATACCTTATTACGACCAACCTATTGACAACTCTTGTCAGTTGGACCCAGCAATACATCCAACAGCACTTCATAGATGTGATAAGACCAAGTGTATCCACCGAATATTTATCAGCGCTTCGAACGTGAGCCACAAAACCTTCGACGTAAGTGCATCAGCACCAACGTCACAACTAATTCCCCTTCTAGAATTAGATATAATATGAACCAAACAACACTTTGTTCTTAAATAGAAAACAGGCTAACACCAATGGCGACCGACCTGAGATTACCAGGGTCGTTCGAGTTCTAGAAGTGCGAAAATATTGAGCTGAGGACCTGATAACGTCTATGGTACGACCGATACTACTAGAATATTTGTCACTTTTGAAAGGCTGATAATACTTTGCACTGTTGCATCTTGCAAACACGACGTCCACCATTTTGGAGACCGAGTAATTCGTATGTCGACACATTTTTAGGGACGATGGCAGTACTTGAGACACCTGAGAATGAGGACACCCCACCAGTCAGTAACAACGCAGAACTTCGTACGTACGTACATCAGTCCGAGTTGCCACACCACATCAGCATAGAGATGCAGTTGTCGATTCAAATTCCGTGGTGGTAGAGGTAATAAGAGTATAAGCAGTAATCGGCAAGATTAGTGTTTGGAGATGTTACTTAAAGAGTATAATACAGTGAAATAAACTTGGGAAGACAAAAAAGAGACAAGGAGATCAAAATTTGGGAGAACACAAAGAGTGGATGCACCTGCGCCATTGCAAACGATCTCGAGCCATATCATTCAGGGTCTCTAACCATCGGTTGCTATCATCTCGTGGTCCCCAACCAGGTAGTCTACACCTACCAACATGACTCAGTCCACTTGTCAGTGACTTCATGGACTTGTGCCATGTTTTGGTCTGGTCGCCCCTACCTTTCTTCCAATCTACTCCTATACCACTGAACATCGCGCGTCGAGGCAGTCGGTGGTTGGGCAGCCATCTCAACTGATGAAGTTTCACTACGTCATCAGTTGATTTGCCATTCTTACCTAGTACCCGTTTCCTAACAACTGCATTACTTACTCGATGGTCCCAGGATATACGAGCAATATTTCGAAGACACCTATGATAAAATACTAGTGGGGTAGGACACCCCACCACATAGGCAGAAAGAGAAACATCGCTAACCAGGGTCTATTGTCGATAGCAAGACAATGACTGAGTTCTGTGTGTGTACCGACAAAACTTCCAAGCAAATCTACCCACCCGGTCATAAACATATGAAAGCAATTGTTATTCTACCAAGAACCTTTATTTACTTAATTATTTGAAACTCAAATAAAACACCATTGGTCAGCTTCCTGGAAAATAACAACAGCCATTAGCAAGCGAATGAGGGCAACACTGACCACATACAGAATATGGGATGGGTGGCGAGTAGATCCAACACACTCCTCAAAGCCATCATTTGGATGCTACAAAGCCACAGGGAACTTTCAAAGCGACACGGATGGTAAACAGTCATTAACATCATGAACATATAAGCTAACTGTACATTTGGGATATAATACAAGGGAAGTGGGAGTTCTGGTTAGGGTTAATTATAATAACAAAAAAAATAAACATTTGAAAAAACAAACCCCAACTGAAAAGGACAGATGGGAAAAATTAAACTATACAGCATATCACGAGTGGGAATGGATTCATTGAAGCTGCGAAGAAAATAATAGGGATAACCTAAACTCAAAAAAATTAGGGATTCTAAAGTGGCGAGCATCTTAGGTAAATGCCCAGAAGTCACCGGGAAGTCATATATATTAATGATTGTTTACAACCTCTTCTTTGTTGCCTGAAGGCAACCCACGACCATTAAACAGTGCCTCTCTTGTCATTGGATCCAAATTATTTTCATTTTGGTATTCCGCAACATATAACCGCTTGTCGATTTCTTTAGGAATTGGTTTGATTTCAGTAACTAGTTCTGTTTCCACTGTTTTTAATGAATATCTGAGAGTAAGTTAAGTATGAGCAAAGGACCTACCTATCTGCATACGTAACCAAGTTTATAGCAATACCCAAATGACCAAAACGACCAGATCTACCAATACGATGCAAATATGTTTCAGAATATTTTGGGAAGTCAAAATTTATAACAACATTCACAGTCGGAATGTCAATTCCACGAGTCAAAAGGTCTGTACAAACAAGGTTGCGGCAGCAACCATTCCGAAAATCATGAAAGACTCTGTTACGGTCCTGCTGAGACATCCTTGCATGTATATAATAACAGGAATATCCCAACTGGGTGATTTTTTTGGCAAGAAGTTCGACTCGTTGTGCTGAACTACAGAAAATTATGGACTGGCTGATCTGCAGTTTTGAAAACAACGTATTTAAGCAGTGTACCTAAGTAAGTTATTGAGGGATATTCATAACGACTTACCTTATGCTTTTCTTGGACATATGCATAATATTCAGTAATTCCTTTTAGCGTTAATGTCTCCATTAAGTTTATTTGATAGGGATTGCGCAAATGCTGAGTCATAAATGACTGGACTGTAACGGGGTACGTTGCTGAATAAACAAGAACTTGACGACTTTTATCCACACCATTGAGAATCTCCTCAACCCCACTTATGAGCTCTTCGGACAGTAGTTTGTCTGCTTCATCCAGAACAACAATTTTACACCTGGATATGTCAATGAGTCCCCTGCTTAGTAAATCTACCAAACGACCGGGCGTGCCGATTAAAACATGGACGGTTTGACTTAGTCTTATTAAATCGTCTTTTAGCAGTGTGCCACCGATTACCAGCATGATTTTAATAGCCGTATGCTTGGCAAGTTCTATGCAGATTTGGCTGGTCTGAAGTGCAAGTTCTCGAGTGGGTACCAAAATAATAGCCTGAATTTTGTTGATTGTAGTATCGATCGATTCTAGGACAGGGACTGAATAAGCTCCAGTTTTGCCAGTGCCATTTTTGGCTCTTGCCATTATATCTCTGTGCGTTAGAGCTATTGGTATACTGGATTCTTGGATCGGGGATGGGGACTCCCAACCTTTCTCGTATATTCCCTTCAGGATATCTCTCTTTAGACAAAAGTCTTCAAAGCTGCTTCCTTTCAAAGCAGTTACATCAGCCGTTTTAATACGCATGTCCTTCTCCGGAAGCTTAAGAGTTGACTTCCAGTCATCGTTTGCAGTACTGTCACTGCCTTTCAATGCCAATGTAGACATCGGTAATGGTAAAAAGTCTCTACATAACATGACATAAATTACGCTATGATAATCAAGAACGTACTTGCAGCCTGACAAATAATCCCGAAGATTAGATTTTCCAATAGCAGAACGGCGCCGGATGTACAGATACAAGTCCGAATTCATCCAAACACATTCAAAGTTACAGTTTCAATCTATACAAAGAAGACCGATTAGTAATGAAAGCTCACTGATGTTATTAATTAGACCAGATGTATCTGTATAAATGAACAAAAACTAGATTTTATAAAGTCAGATTTCAGATTCAGATTTCAGATTTGTGTAGTAAGGACAGAAGGCCTACGGCCTATGTTATTCCTTTTCTAGTATGCTTCTGTGAGTGTCCAGTCTTCTCTTGAAAGAGTCAATTGAAGGTGCGGACACCACTGCTTCAGGCAGTAGGTTCCAAGTATTGATAACGCGGTGTCAAAACCTGTATGCCACTGGTATTTTGTTCGTTCTTGGCTTTTCTACTCGCCTGCTATGTCCTCTAAAGTGTCACGATCTAGTGGGAAGAAAGAGAGGGAATAAGTTAGGTCCTAAATCATTTCTCAGTATTCTGTACATCAAAATTAGATCTCCCCTTAGTCTGCGATAGGACAGAGTAAAGAGGTTCAGTTTTTCAAGCCCCTCTTTGTATGATAAACCACGGAGTTCCGGAATTGCACGCGTAGCTGCTCTCTGTACTCTTTCTAGTATGTCTAAGTCACCTTTTAAGCAGGGGCTTGCAGCCTGAACGCAGTTCTCTAGCTTAGTTCTCACTAAGGATGTGTATACTGTGGTGAACATGGTAGCATCTAACTTAGTGAGTGTCCTTTTTAAAGCCCAGAGGGTTCGAAACCCCTTGGCTGCGACCTCCCGGCAATGGGCCGTCGTCTTAAGATCATTACTCACTGTCACTCCTAGATCCTTATGAGACCGGACTACAAGTAATGACACATCCCCTATGTTGTAATTATTAACCTTTGAGTCCCCCAAGTGCATGTAGACACACTTTTACGCGTTGATAGGCATCAGCCACTCTTTAGACCAGTTTATCATATTATTTAAGTCTCCCTGAAGAGTAAATGCGTCTTTGTCTCCAGTTATTACTCGCCAAATTTTTACATCGTCAGCGTATGACAGCATTGAAGACTGTACTATACTTGTAAGATCATTAACGTACATTATAAAAAGTAAAGGACCTAGGACGGAACCATGGGGTACTCCACTGTAGCGGTAAATAAATCCCCAAAATAAATAGCTCTGTAAGTTTTCGACATTGGATGCTGACCATATGTTTTAGTGGACTCATCTAGCTGAAGGCGCTCGGTTAGGCATCCGCACCAGATCACGTGTGGTAACGCCGTGCTCAACATCAACCGCAATCGCTAGCCAGATTAGATCAGAGAATTCCGATATATTGGTCATCGCCAAATATACTCTTCCGATCTCCTCGACTCTGTCTTTTGATTTCTCTGGGTGGGAACGAAATACATTAGAAGGTGTTACTGGTAGAAGCGTTGTCAAACACTGAATACCTGTGACATCATCATTGGTGAGACTGACGTGATCTGGTACACCTAATTGCAACTATGAGTCTGTTCCTCTTTGGGATTTTTATATATCATTGCCTTATTTTTTTATTTTTTTAAACATTGTGATTTTTTTTGTGTTTTTTCTCGGATATATATATTTTCCCCTCGTTCATTATCATACTTCATCATGACTGAACAGACACCTAAAGTACTCAAGCTTAAGACTTTGTCCCCGCCTTCGTTTCAACTGATGCCTTTCTGGCCCGACAACATCGAAGCCTGGTTTTGCTACGCCGAAGCCGACTTCTCCGAGCACGGCGTGATCGACACACGTGCACAATTCCTCGCAGTAGTCAAGGCACTACCGCGCGAATTCAACTGGTACGTAACACCTAGTATGTTTACTAGTGATGTTTCCGATCCTTACGAAATCTTAAAACGCTCGATTCTTAAACGAGGAGAGCTAACCGATCGACATAGGTTAGATCAACTCTTCAACAATATCGACCTGCAACACGGTTCTGCGACAGACATGTTGCAACGGATGAGAGAGGTAATAGACCCAAGAACTTTCGACGAAGGTCTATTCAAACAACTCTTCTTGTCAAAACTTCCCCAACAGGTGCAAGCAGTTCTGGACTCGTTTCAGAACAACGCCTTAGACGAGCTAGCTGCATCTGCCGACCGCATTTTAGAAATTACGAAATCTACTACCGAGGTATTTTCAGTCAAAGAAAAGCCTCAAACGACTCAGAATGATATAAACGACTTATATCACACACTCACGCGTTATCTTAGTCTTCGTACCGACCGTAAGAGATCGCGCACTCCACGTAGAAGCATTTCTCGTAAGCGATCTGTTTCTAGACCACGAGAGACAGATAACCCCGACTGGTGCTGGTATCATAACCAGTATGTAAAGCTTTCCAGAAATTGCAGAAAACCCTGCAATTTTCCCAACACGAAACCGACCGATTCGAAAAGCAATTCGGGAAACTTCCAAGCCGGCACGCGTTAACGGCAACCGTAGCCGGCGAACAAAGCCGTCTGTTATTCGTCACAGATGTGACAACGAGAGTTCGCTACCTCGTCGACACTGGCGCAGAAGTTAGCGTTCTCCCAGCAAATCCTAACGACCGGCTTCAGGAATCGGCTTTTAACTTACAGGCGGCAAACGGAAAACCTATCGCTACGTATGGCAAAAGGTACGTTTACCTTAACATGGGTTTACGCAAACCCATCCACTGGATTTTCGTTATTGCAGATGTTTCTATGCCAATCATTGGTATGGACCTTCTACAACACCACAATCTGATCATCGACACGCGCAAACGGAGGCTAGTAGACGGAAACACTAATTTGTCCGTTTGCGTAACTTCTATTACTGGTTGTAGAGTATCCCCAGTCACAGGTAAACATATGATAGACCCACTTTATCAACCACTACTCGATAAGTACCCTGAGATACAACAAACTCAACTGAAACTACCGTGTGTAACCAGCAACGTTACACATCACATCACGACTACAGGACCACCTGTATTCTCTAAAGCACGACGACTAGCTCCTGAAAAGCTAAGGTTAGCGAAAAACGAATTCGATCACATGATGGACTTAGGAATCATACGACCGTCAAGTAGCCCATATGCATCTCCGTTGCACATGGTCCCTAAAAAGGACAGCAACGGTTGGCGTTCAACTGGTGACTATCGGCGATTGAACGCGAAAACCATTCCCGATCGTTACCCGTTGCCTCACATTCACGATTTGACAGCTACCTTGAAAGGTACAACTGTCTTTTCGAAAATCGACTTGGTTAAAGCGTATAACCAAATCCCTATGGCTACTGACGACATACCGAAAACAGCTATCATAACTCCTTTCGGACTCTATGAATTTTTGCGAATGCCTTTCGGTCTAAGGAATGCTGCTCAAACATTCCAAAGATTCATAGACGACGTTTTTCGAGGTCTCAACTTCGTACATGCGTATGTTGATGACTGTCTAATCGCAAGTCCGGACAGAGAAACACATCTCAAGCATCTGGATCTTGTTTTCGAACGACTTCAAAAACATGGCATAACTGTAAACGTTCAGAAATGCCAATTCGGAACCGACTCATTAGACTTTCTGGGACACACTATCGATGCTCGAGGCATTCGACTCCCTTAGGACCAAAGTGGCGGCCATTCTGGATTACCCAGAACCGACCACCGTCAAGCAATTACGCACGTTTAACGGCCTTGTAAGTTTCTATAGACGATTCATACCGAAATGCGCGTTACTCATGGAACCTCTTACCGACCAACTTCGTGGAAATGCGAAATCTATCAAGTTGGTTGACATCGCACAGAAAGCATTCTCCACAGTTAAGGAACTTATCGCTAAAGCAACAATGCTCGCACATTAGGACGCCCGAGCACCCATTAGCATCGCAGTAGACGCATCCGACTCGGCAATCGGAGGAGTCTTACAACGATGGGTTAACAACTCCTGGCAACCCTTGGCATCTTTCTCTAGAAGGTTGCTAGACACCGAATCGAAGTACAGCACATTCGGTAGGGAACTCCTAGCTATGTATCGTGCTGTACGGCATTTCCAACACTACATCGAAGGTCGTGAATTCACTCTTTTCACGGACCATAAACCGCTCACTTTCTCGTTAAGCTCTCCTTCTGACAAGTACTCTCCCCGTGAGTCTCGACAACTGGACTACATTTCGCAGTTTACTTCAGACATTCAACACATCTCTGGAGCAAACAATGTAGTTGCAGACGCCTTATCTCGCATAACTTCCTTGAACAGTTTCCAAGGAATCGACCTTCTTAAACTCGCCGAGCTTCAAAAATAAGACAGTGATCTTCAGCACGAGTTATCGTCTACAACCCTTAAACTAGGCATCAAACAGATGGGAACAGGTAAGGAAACCTTACCTCAATCGTGCCGAAACATTATCGACGCAATGTCTTCAACACATTGCACAAACTTTCGCATCCAGATGTTCGTGCAACCATCAAGCTTATAGCAGAAAGGTTTTGCTGGCCTGGAATGAATAAAGACGTGAGGGAGTGGGCACGCTCCTGTGTAAGCTGCCGAAAATCTAAGGTTATCAGACACAATAAATCCCCCTTAGGCTCGTTTAGAACTCCCGATGCTCGTTTCGACCATGTTCATCTGGATTTGGTAGGACCTTTACCAGATTCAAATGGATACTCTTATCTCTTAACCTGCGTAGACCGTTTCACTCGATGACCAGAATCAGTACATATCAAGGACATCACTGCTAAAACAGTGGCCCGCACCTTCGTCGAACGATGGGTAGCAAACTTCGGCTGCCTACCAACCATTACTACAGACCGCGGACGTCAATTTGAATCTGAACTTTTCCGTCGTCTGACCACTCTTTTAGGAAGCACTCGCTTCCGAACGACCGCCTATCATCCACAAGCAAACGGGTTGGTAGAACGTTTTCACCGACACCTGAAAGCTTCGCTATCAGCTGCAAACGTTTCACAATGGACCGACGCTCTTCCACTCGTCTTACTAGGTATCCGCAATGCAGTGAAAGCTGACATTGGATACACTGCGGCTCAACTCGTTTATGGAACG